AACACCTCACCCTATATGAGTCTGAGCAGGTTGTATTTGTTTGGGCTGTAGAAAATGGGAGTTTTTGGTGTGTTGCATCAGGAATTCAAATAGTTTCTCTGTTTAGTGCTAACAAGTGCTTTTCTTAACAATATTTGGTAAGGAATCAGTATTCTCTGCTCTCCTTCTTTTTTCACCTTTAGCCAAATAACACAAAATTCCTTCTCTTTCCATCTCTGTATCCATTTGGGCGTGTATTACTCAAGATTCATTTTCTGTCTCCAGAAAAAATGTTGAGGAGGGCGTGGTGATGCTAATAGGAACTTCCAAAATGTCCTTCATTTGATCCCATGACTTAATTTTAACCCTGGCAGATTAGCATTTTAAATAAATTGCATTAGTCCTCTGTGTGCATTTGCATTAATACTACAAGTATGCATTTAAGATGTAACTCAGGTAGACTCATAACTTGTGAAAGGTGACATCAGGAGTATAATCATGGTGGGAGCAGGGAAGAGTTTGAAGGGAGTCACTGACAGGATGAGGCGTGTTCTGGTCCTGTTTGCTCTGTGTGGCCACAGAAGGGAATTTGGAAAATGCCCTATTTTAAGAATTTGATTTTACAGCAGTGATGTATTGAAGGATACCTGAGGTTCCTCAATAATTACTATGGGGCTATCCAGATTAAAAGTTACCTGTGCAGGTGATTGGGAGATGCAGGACCCAGATCTCGTTCTGTTTACGACAAAGAAGTGTCGTAGCTAGACTATGATATGTTCTAAACCCCAGATGTGGCATTCTTCGAAGGAGTGTACTGTGTGGCTATCTTTCTGTTTGCAAAGACAAATGAGGCTTCTAGCCATATAGATAAATAATTTTTATGGGACAGTATAAGCTACATAATAATGAAAAGGAATTGCCATCTTAGCTGTATTTTTCTAGATAGCTGCTTTTTGTCTTATTATGTTTATGCTCTTGATGAAAGTAGTTATTCTGGAAGTCTTCTTTAGCTCCAGCCTTGCATCCGTTCAGTTCCCATCTCACTAGGGTGAAGTTCCAGGAATAATCCCAGTGCTGTAGGTACATCACTCTTTCAGGTGATACTGTAAAAAAGCTCATGAAGATCCTGTGATGATGACCTCTGTAGAGAGGTCAGCCATGATGTAGCAGGTCAAGGCTTCTGCTCAATGTGGTGTTCTGCTCTCACTTGCAGAGTTATCACTTTCTTCTCCAAAGGAGCTGCATTTTAAATGAAACTAAATTGGAAGCACCCTGTCAGGGTGCCACATCACTGGCCTAAGTGGAATGTCAGCAGTGAATTGCAGTGGTTATGTGCAAACCTGACACTCAAGCTTGTAGAAGCTTGCCCACTGCTCTTCTTGTGGGTAAAGGGAGTTATGCAAATTTCAAACTAAGTTACTCTGCCCTTTTACCCTGTCTCCATTTTGATGAAGCTGAGGCTTAAACTTAATAAAAGACCTGACTACAGAAGTACGTGCTGTTCAGGAAGCAACAGCCAGTGTTAACAAAAATCTCTTCTAAAATAGTTTTGAAAAAAATTCTTTTGAGAAAACTTTATTGTCTCTAATTGTGTAACTGGCCCGGGCTGCATTGGGCCACTTCTAGATGAGTTCTTGAAAGCTGTTCTAGTGCATGGCCATTTTTTGAGTGGCATTGAAATCTGTTGAACTTTCCCTTCAAAAAACTGTCACAGGAGAAAGTCCCTGCTGATACAGGAAAGAGAACAAAATTCATTAACAGACAAGTTTTGGAAACTCAGGGAAGATGTGTTTTTGGATTTCCTGAGCGGTCTGATCTGCTCTGCATTATCCACACATAATTTTGAGAAGATCTGGAGCTGGCAGAGGAGTGATACTCCCAGAGCAGTAGTATATTCATTAATAACACAGTGACCTTTGCTCGTTCCTGTCCCCACTCCCAGGTCTCAGCTGTGGTAGGATAAAAGTTCAACCAGGCCAGTTAAAATGATTTCTTTTAAGTCTTGAGCTGTAGTGTTTGAAATCAAGGTGAGGAACAATAAAAAATGTGTCTGTTGAAGTGACCCCTTGCTACCAGACTGCTTTCATCCTGGAGTTGCTGTTGTACTGGAAACACTCAGTCCTGGATGAGAAGGGACCTTTTTAAGGAGCAAATTTTGGTCCACTCAGTTTTTACCGAGGCATCATTCAGAGATGTGCTCTAGCATACGGAGAAGACGTTTGCTCAACAAGCTGGCATCATCTTCCCAGTCACAGCCCAAGAGTTTCCTTAAGTACAGTGTCGGTGCCATGAAATATGCACCTGTGAAGTCTGCTGAGGAGCTGAATGGAAACCATGGCTTCTGGCTATGGTTTGGACCAGCTTAATGTACTCTGGAAAAAATATTTCACACGTCACATCACACCGGCTGAAAAAACAGCGGACATCAGCAGCGCTGGAACCCAGAGTAAAGGACTCGCAGCAGGTGCTAACGTGCAGAGGCACCGAGCATTATGGTAACACCTGTGTTTGTTTAAATCCAGCCAAAACAATTTCCTCTCCAGTTGTAGAGGAGGATTAAGGAAAAAAAAAAAAAAAAAGAAAAAATCTACCTACCTTCCAGTAGTAGCAGACATTCCTGTAAAGCAATTTGCATAGTATTTCCCATGGTGCGCTCTGGCTGTGCTGGGGTTTTTCTCTTTACACTTTTTTAGTTTGGGGGACACCTTTAGCAGCTTCAGTGCCCCCCCAGCCATCTCTTTGTCCCTTGCCAGCATTGCCAGGCCTGAGCAGTTGCAGATGGTGTGATCTCTGAGTGCTTTCCTTAATTGAATGAAAAATAAAGCCTCTTGTAAAATATTACCAATTTAGATGTGACTTATGGGGCACATATGATGCTTATTTTTTCAATTACATGAAAACTTGGCGTGGTTAAACATAGGAAGCCAAGTGTTCTGTGAAGCCAGTATAGATTTCTGGATTTTTAGGTGATTTTGCTTTAAATTATTATATACCAGAAGGGGGTGAAGGAAGTCAGCAGCTAAACTGTATTTTCCCAGCATGTATTTCACTCAGTGGACCCTTGATGCTCATTTCATGACTAATATATGCTGTACTATATGCATTTCTTGTTGTCACCAGAGATAACATTAAGTAAACTATCCCCTTAAGAAAAACAGTTTTTCTTGGCAAGTGGAATATGACTCAAGGAACCAGCACTGGAGACATACGGCGCTGTGAATGAGTGCTGTGTGTTACTCTACTGGATCTGAGTCCAGGCACTATTTATACTGCAGCATATTCAGCACCAGATTGTTAAATCTTAATACTGAAACAGTGCATCATTTAAATGTTTTTGTTCTGTTTATGTCCCATTTTCAAGCATTGGATATCAAGCAACGCTTAGTAACTTTTTGTTTCCTTTGGACAATATCTCTCCTTGACAAAAGCTTTCTAATCTGCTCTTGAAACATTAGCCTGCCTGTACCGCTATGTTACAGTGAAACTTTGTGCCACTGAGGATGAACTAGGTCACTTCCAGCTTCTTTCAGTATGTGCTGACAGAATGCCTTGCAAAGCAGTACATCAGTGGTAAATGCGAAGATTTAAGTGCTACACAAAAGGAGATGTACTAAAATTATTCCCTCTTCAATCTGCGTAGGAATGGGGAAAAAATATTCCACAGCAGGTACTGCATGGGCTCATTTTGTTCTGTTATTGTCTCTGTTCAAGAAGCTTTGTTTCATTGTTTCAGTGTGGTATTTATTTTATGATCATGTTTGGGAGATCAGGATAAAGAGCTGTTGAGCTGTTGTCATTTGTTTCGGTTTGATAGTTCCAAAGCTGGTGAAGAACTGGGAGTAGAAAGTGAGGAGGAGAGAGCTGAAGTTTCTTGGCATCACGGCATCCTTCCAGATACTCAAGAAGAGCTCTTGGTGTGCCTGTTATGGCAGAAGAAGTAGTTTTCTCCTGTATTAATGTGTTAGTGTATTTCTGACAGTTGTGTTTATGGATGTCTTTTCCAAGATCCAACAGTATATAAGGAAACCTCAAAAGGCATCAGTTTAAATGGGAGAATGGTGTTTTGGAGGGCTGAGCTGAGGAAAGTTAAGGGAGCAGTACAGCAGGGCAACGGGAACACGATGAAGGAGGGAATAAAAGCAGTAGTGGCAAGAGTGCAGAATAAGGTTGAACTGCTTTGCTGCCATGTAAAATGGCACTGTGGCTTTCTTTGTTTGGTGTCTTCCTGGAAGTCATTCCTGGGTGTTAGTCATTGTTTTTGGTGTGGGTGGGCCCTCTGCAATTGTCTAAACAGAAATAATACCTCTGCACCAAATGGTTTACCATCCAAGTTTACAGCCTTTGTGACAAGCTCATCCAGAAGAGGTGATGATCCCTATTAAAGAATGAACAGAAGTAGAAATAGAACTTAGAGCATTCTCACTCGCCCCCAAAATCCTATTTTGGATCTGCGGTCAGCAGCTCGCAGTTGTTTGGTTTTGGGTGGCTTTTTTTCTCACAAAGAAGAGCAACCATCTGCATAGTGCAACTTGCATCTGGGAGTGAACTCTTCCTACTTGGTGGGTTTCCAGTGGCATCCATCCACTGGGAATTGTACCATGCTTAGATTGTGACTGTGTGCTGAAAGCCCACACGTAGGAATTTTCCTGTTCAAGTCAAAAGTAATGCATTTATTTACTGAAAGGTTTTTGTAGACTGAAAAATCAGGACTAGAGAGTATTTAAAGCTTATTCTAACTTAGAGAACTAGGCTCTAGTGGGATGATGAAAGATGTGAAGGGAGGAAGTCTCCTGTGCTTTCTTGAAGTAATTTGAGAGCCAGGAACATGTCAGCCACTGTCTGTTAAGAATTTAAATCTATTCCTGCTCTTCTCCATTTTTTGTTTCAGGAGTCAGCAGAACACATCTTTCTGGGCAAGAGTGCAATAAACCTCAAGGCAGATTTTGAATCTTGGGAACAAACAAAGGGTTTAGTAAATAGCCGGTAAAATATAAAATATGAATTTTTTGTTTTCTTTTCAGGAATAATCAAGCTTGGGAGGTGGAATCCCCTCCCTCTCAGTTATGTGACTGATGCACCAGATGCGACAGTAGCCGACATGCTACAAGATGTCTATCATGTTGTGACATTGAAAATCCAATTACAAAGGTGGGTGTTTCTGAACATCTGTCCTTCTCTATTCTCTGAGCTGCTCTGTCGGTTACAGCATTACTACAGAGATTAGCACATCCTGTCTTCATTAATTTCGGGTCTTTTGATGAAATGAAAGGAAAATGAAGAGAAGGGTGGGTCACCTGGCAGCTTTTTGGTGCATGTTCCAACTGATATTGTATGTTTTCTGAAGTAGCAATATGGTAGCAGAGAGGGGAAGGGCAGAAACTCAGTCAAGTTTATGGGGCTTTTAAAGGCAGACCTTTCAACAGTCCCTAATTTAATGGATTCTTAAGGTCTAATCGTATCAAATAATAAACTCCTTGCCTTTTTCTAGGGGCTGCATTGTGAGAATCCAAGTCTTCTACTGCCAGTCACTGAGATGGGGAGGAGGGGAGCTTTTTTGACTTTTCTTTCTTTTTCTCCAGTGGTCTTCCCAGCAAAAAGAAGACAAGGAAGGAAAATGTCACTGCAATTGTATTTGGCATTTGGAAAATATTTTTCTTCCCTGAATACTGGTGCTGATTAGCAAAGCAAAAGCTCACTCCAGTTTTACACTTATTTGCCCTCCCTTCCTCTCTCTTTTCCCCACCCCCTTTCTTCTTCCCCTTTCTTTCTGTTGGCCTTCAGAAGAGTTCTCAAACAGTTACTGATGTAAGGAGGTGTGACAGGTCCCTTGCAGTGCATGGCATGCTCTGGTCACGCTGGTAAGCCTACATTGCACAGCCTGCTGTAGCTGTATGGCCAGGACGTGCCAGAGGAAAGAGTAAAAAATAAGTCTGGAATAAATTGCCAACAATTCTTCGAAGGTCTGGCTTGAAGAGAAGAGAGGTCCACAGGGACCTATGTGTGTCCTTTTGGTGGCAGGTACATACCCTCCAACTGTTCAGTTCAATTTAGAATTTGCAAGTAGTTGATGCCTCACTGACATTAAACTCCCAGACAAGAACATTTCTTTCTTTTTATATCTCTGATAGTGCTTGAGGTTTCCAATTCCCATGAACAGGTCTTTCCTTGGTTTTATATACTGGTATCGTTTTTCAGCTAGACTGCATCTCTGCTACACAGTTGTAAAAGAGCATCTAGACCCTGTAACTGCTATGAAACTGGAGTGCAGTAACTCATTTCCTCAGAAGTGTGAGCTACCAGGAGTCCATCTAGGCCTATTGTCACATCTGTATTAGCAAAGGGTATCAATCCAAGATTAGGGTCTCATTCTCTTTCTTCAAAATACCTGAATGCCTGGATGCAATGTAAGTAAAAGATAGCCCATGACTTTGAGATAAAGATGATCACTGACTACTTGAACTCCTCAAGCCCAACTGAACATGCAGCTCTGAGGGACAAGCCAGGCTGTAAGGGCAGAAGGCAGAACCCCCTCAGAGGTTGATTGGAGAACACGCATTAATTCGCTCTGGTAGAAGTGGCAGTGACAAGCTTCTCCCAGCTTTTTTGATGTGTTTCTCGGGTCTGTCCCTGTGCATGTAGGCACAAACCATAAGCTTGTTAGACTAAAAGAGGCACAAGTCACATGAAGACAAAAGCTTCAGTACATATGCAGTTCTTGTAGAATGAAAGTGAGAATCAACTACACGTGACAGATGTTGGACATATGGCTTAATGTGTTTCTGAAAGGCTCTTGGATACTTCAGTGATAAGGGCAGTATAAGAACCCCTATGAAATTAAACTAATTTTTCAAAGTCTTGCCTCCACACAATGAGGGCCCTTACTGTTTAGGGATTTTGTTAGTGGCAGCACAGCTTATATGTTTATTTTTCTAGCCCAGCAGGAGTACCTTTGTCTGGAGAGTATGGCTTTATCCAGCCATTTCTGGGGCTTGCTTTATGCAGTTTCTTTGCTCTCCATCAAGCCCCAGAGGGAATGGTTATGCACACATATAATACCATAGGAGGATTAGCTGCTATGTGTTGAACTGCACATCTTCTGGTAGCCATGCTTGATGGGAAGGTGACAGAGGGGAGAAGCACCTCGATGGGCTGGTCAAGCAGGAAACTTCAAGGTTGTGTTTGTTGCTTAAAGTTCTATAGCACTGGTATGCAAAAAGTCATTATCTGTGAAGGTGATGTTTCTATCTACTTTTTGCTTTCTGTTTCAACAGTTGTTCAAAGTTGGAAGACTTGCCAGCAGAGCAGTGGAACCATGCCACAGTTCGCAATGCCTTAAAGGAACTGCTCAAAGAGATGAATCAGAGCACATTAGCCAAAGAATGCCCTCTCTCACAGGTCAGTGCTTTTAACAGGCTTAGGGAAAGAAAGATTTGCAAGAACTGAAGCTCATATTTGTTTAGCAAAGAGTCTAGACCAAACAGTTCCATAAATACCAAATAAAGTCATTTTCTTTAGAAAGGAGAAATTCTAATTAATATAATAAAGAGTATCGATACCATGTTTTCTCAGTGGGTTGCCTGGTGAAAATTGTGAATGAATTGGTTGGTTTTCAGAGAGATGTAAATTCTTTATTTAGGTTTTTATCTGAACCTTTTGTAATAGGGCTGATTATCCTCAAGTGCAAGATTTGAGTGGCTTCTTCCCACTAGCAGAGGCTTGCCTTCCCCACTAACCCACAGGTAGCTCTCATCAGCCTCCAAACATGACAAAAAGTATGCAGTTTTAACAGTTGTGCCCCAATTTCTAGGAAACAGCAACAAAAAAATGTATATGTAATTATGTTAAAAAAAGAACAAAAACTCAGTCTCGTTCTCCATGACTGCTTTATAATCGGCAGTGAAGTCATGTCTAAGACACAGGTTCCTACAGATGTCATGAGCTCTATTTGTACTTCAGATTGTCATAATGAGAGATTCATAAAATTTTCATGACCGAGTCCTCCTTGCCTCTCAGAAAAAACAGAATAACACTTCAGCACCCAGACCAGGTAACTTCGCTAGGCATGAAAAATACAATGCCTTCTAAAATCTGAATTAGAATCATAGGTTAATCTGTTGATTGTGTCTTTCAAAAGTCAAAACATCAGTAATCCCTGCTTGCTAAAAATCCGTTGTTTTGCTATACTGCATCCAACATTTTTTCTGCCGTGGTTGCCTGTCTTGCATTGCACTGTATGTTCATCCTGTGATTCATGATCCAAAGTCTGCATGAACCAAGAGAATTCCTTCTATTCATCACAAATTTGCCTTGCTGTGTTATGATTACAACTCCAGGGAAAGTGTAGAGGTGAGATACAGAGCAGAATTTAGATCTCTGCAATTGGTAGGAGTTACATTCCTCATCTTCCTTAGCCATGTGGGATCTGCAGAACTAACAGGGATGGAAAGGCTGTGTAAGGAAAAGCCATGTAACTTGCCTTATTTACCAAAGGAGTAACTGACTCCAGATACGCACAGACCATTGAATATGCATTGAATAAGAAAGTATTCTTCTTTTCACACAGTTTAATTTCTTGAAATAGAATTATCTGTGGAATCTGGTCAGCTAATGATGATTGCAGCATATGGTTTTCTCTGCCCAGTCTTTCTCAGTATCCAGTATAATAAACTATACACCATTTCATATGCAGAATTCGTTTGTTATCTGGGTCCTTTTCCTCCCACTTCAGTTTCAAAACATACCAGGTGGAAATGCTGCAGTTGGTTTACTCCTTCTGTAGCCTCAGTCTGAAAGGTATTTACACAATTATTGATGGCAGAACCGTAGCAGCAAAAATTCTTGCCCCAGTATTTATTTAGTGGGCAAAACTAAAAGGAGATCTTTCTATAGAGAATTGAACTTTCTTTTAAGCACAGGTATAAGTGACCTTGGGTAGTGACTAACCCTTGAACTGAGACTACAGAATGCAGCTTATATTATTACTATTATTATTATTATTGCCATAAGAAGTTTCAGTCTGTTTTGGTTTGGCTCACAAAATGAGATACAATGGAAGGTTGTATAGGATCTGTCTATTACCATCATCTGAATATGCCTCTAATACAATTCCTTCTCCCAAATCAGTTTTAAAAAAATATCGTGCCAAATGTGAAATGTCATTACAACCCCCTTGTGGTTAATATATTATTGACAGCAGCAAATTGCAGAGTGGTCTCTTAGGAGTCAAACTGCAGAGTAAATGCTGCTGTTTATTAATGTGTTCACGGCGTCTCAGGTACAGAAGTGGAGAGGGGCAGCGTGGGGAGCCCCCACTCCCACCAGCAACAGTGCTCCGTCTCTGGTTCTCAGTGCCCGAGCTCTCCGTGAAGCCCAGATGGGGATTCTGATTGCTGCTAATGGGAAATGTAATCATTCACTTTGATTTAAAATTGTTCTGTTTTTTTCTGATAGGTGTATTACATGTCTGCAGTTTAGCTACCCTTAGCATACAGCTCCTGTTCAAACAAATAAATCCCAGTTAACCAAGCTGGGGGGAAGGAGTGTTTGGTGGGGGGAGTGCGTGTGGCAGAAACAAATCCAATTATTTCAGCATTTTCATCTTTTCATAGAGATTTCTGTCTTTCCTGTGCATCATGTAACTCATTTCAGCGCTGACCATGCATTTTGTCTCTGCTGGAGCAAGCTTTCTTGGGATGTGAGCACGTCCCATATTTTTCTCCTTGAACTTACTGCACCAGATTTTCTTTGTGTGGATATTTCTTAGCTCCTGGTCTAAGTAGTTTTCATTCCACATGGCTGTCATGACCACACACATACCAGACGTATCTGCTGTTTAATGGAATCTGTTTCTTCCTTAAAGATTTTCCCAGGTATAATGTGCATTATTTAGATATTTGCAATTAGTTAGTGGGGTTTTTTGCCCTCTCTTCTAAATGGATATTTCTTTTATGCAGACTTATCAAGATTCCTAGCAGAAATACTCCTAGGGTTACTTTGCATTTAATAGTGAGGGATATGTGGTTTGAAAGTTGTTAGGTTCTTTTGCCTGCTCTATATTCAAGTAGTTGAAGAGAATCTGTCCTGGGATTTTTCACCAATGGTTGATTTACAGTTTGATTTTACTATTTAGTTTATGCTTTGCTTTCTTAAATAAAGGTTAATGGGTTAATATATTCTGTGATATTTAATAGCCCCACAATTTCAGGAATGTTGATTTCTTGTAGAACCAGAGGATCTGAGGGAGAGAAAAAACCCAGGAAACCCCAAACTGATATGTAGACAGAGTTAAACAATTTCCTCACCCTTCCTTAGTGACTGGAAATTTAACTAAAGTGCCGTTAAAACCCTCCACATTATCTCAAGCTTGTTCAAAATCCTTCCTCAGCAGAGGCTATCACCATGCCAGGCTTTCAGAACTCTATTGCTTGTTTAAAATGCTGTGGAGCAAGGGAGGATTTATGGGCAGGGAATTGCTGCTGACTGCCACAATGCTAGGTTTATGTCTCAAAATATTGATTTTAATTAGAAAATTGAGCCTCAGTTTTAGAAATTGAAGCTTCTACTTAACAAGGCTCTTACTTCATAGCCTTCAGACTTTACTGCAGTGCACTGTAGCACACTTTGAGTGGAAAAGTTAAAAGAGAAAAGGCGGAAGAGCCTCTTTACTGAAAGTGAAATTACCTGTTGAAGGCTGAAAGTAATCTATACTACCTAGGTATCCATAGTCTCTTAGTTTTGCTTACATTTTTAAGTCCTTAAAACTTAAATGTTAGGAACAGCCAGAGTCCTGTGATACTGCAGTGAATTGGGTAGAAGGATGGATAAATCTGGAAGAGGGCAGGAATGTTTTTGCTTTTAGAGCATTGTTAAAATTGAGTGAGCCAATGTGTAAGCCTTGTAGCTTTCCAGAGATGGCCAAGATCCCATTTTGCACAGGAGTCTTCAGGAGCCCATGGGCCAGAGCTTGAACCTATGGTGAATAGCTTGTTGGAGCTGTGAGATCATCCTCGCTCTTTCATCTCCAAGCAGAAAGGTCATGCAGCGTGCCAGGGCTTTTTCTGAGCTTTGACATAAGTGAGGAAGGAGGGCATAAGGAAAATGTGTTTTCTGGGGAAGGTGCATTGGCTCCTGTGTGTTATTGGTGTTAGATTGCATTTCCTTGCTGGCAGTGTACAAGTGCTGGGAATCATTTGACCCTGGAAGAGTTCAGAGAGGGGAAAAGGAGAGCAAAATGTTGTTGTTAAAAAGATGCCTCCTCTACAGCATGGATAAAGGGAGGGAAAAAAGAGAGAGGAAGAATTACTAGTCATCAGGCTGTTTGCTGCTGATGGGCAGAAGCATCCCAGATATAAAATATCCTTTTTAGTGGTACTGAGTTCTGCAAAACCTCTCTGCTTCAGTTGCTTGTACTGAGTTGCTCGGTGGAATTTGCAGAGTAGGGAGGGGTGCTGGTTAGGCAAGTGATACTTCATTTTTGTTGAGCTTTTTTGTGGGTTTTGACTACTCTGTGTTGTAGTATGTGTAGTTTCCTTCACTCTGAATAGAACTGCTAATTTCTCTTCTGGGTGATTTTTCTCACAAGGGCTAATCACACGTTTCTATAAATTATATTAATTTAACTTATTTGCCTAACTGTTGTTCTGCAGCGAGTAGCACGGATGTTCTCCAATTCTTGGCTGTGTGGTCTTGCTGCATTTGGAAGCAGAACAGAGACATCTGAAAGGCATTATTTGGATTATGCATGCTGGAGCATCTAATCTTACCTTTAGGATCTGGTTCCTAAACCATACTTGTTCTCACCCGGGTGCAGTGAGCATGTGTTCCCCAGTATGGCACTGCCTGTTATTATCCAACTAAAGTTTAGATATTCTAATATCACAAGTACAAAATAAAATAGAACTTCCCCAACCCCCCCCCCAGCCTGAGCTGCAGGTCTCAGTTTAAGTCCATACTAATTTTTACATAATTTTAACATAATTATGCAAAATAATAACTATTATTTTGTAATTTTATTTATGGCTTGGAATATAGAATAGAGAATAAAACCTAATTTTTATTCTTACGAAACAGCTATTTTGGTTTTGAAGTCACAAATGGATGATCACTGTGCACTTTCATGTCATTCACTTTCCCTGGAAAAGATTTCTAACTGTGGAAGATATTTTAAATCACTTTTTGTCTTTCTTTCTGTACTTCCAGAGTATGATTTCATCCATTGTAAATAGTACATACTATGCCAATGTGTCAGCAACCAAGTGCCAGGAGTTTGGAAGATGGTACAAAAAGTACAAGAAGATTAAAGGTAAATTGAATATTTTGTTACTTTCTAAGTTCTTGAACTTCTGCTGACAGTTTGAGATTATTTGTTTTAAGTGAAAGTGATAATAAGATATAATAATATTAGTGAATTTGTCTACAAAGTGAACACAGTCACAGCACATTTGAAATTAAATCTGATAGTTTACAAACAAGTCTGGCATGAAAACACGGGCCACTTAAAACATGCTTAAAATATCCTATTTAGCTGTGCTGAAAGATCAACTGTGTTTTGAATTAAGCTAAAACATTTTGGAAAAAGAAATGTTCTAGTATCTCAGGACTTAGAAGTTAAATTGTGATGTAAGTTACCTTAATTGCATGTTTTTCCTGAAAGTTAAAAACCTGACTTTCTAAGCTACGTATGCCCTTGTTCTCTGTTTTCAATACCACAAAGTGTACTGGCATTCCTGCCGTGTTTTATCACGTAGAATCTGGATACCAGTGGAGGATTTAATACCTGATTGTTAGGAGACACTTCTAAATAACAAGGTGCTGACCCACTGAAGTTAAGATAAAAATAGCCCATTGTGTGTAATTTTTCTGCAATGAAGTTGTATTGGTTGTTTAGCAGCAAATGCCTGGGCAGCAAAATTATTCTAAGTTCATCCCATTCTCACCACTGAACTGTCTGATCACCTTCTAATGATGCACAAAATGATGTGACAAGCATCTGTCATGTGTAGTTTGTGCTTTTATTTTTTCTTTCCTTTGGGAAGGGACTTAGGTGTGCACTGGACCGTTTATTTTAGTAGGGTTTTTTATAAACACTCATGTCCTTTGAGCAGGAGTTTGAGGATAGACAGAAGCTTTTCCATAATTCCAAGTGGGTCCTCTCTCCCGAAGTGTCCATCAGCCTTGGAATTCAGGGGTATCCTGTGATAGGCTTTTTCACAGTTTTTCTCTCTGTTACACCACTGAAGGGAAGATTCATTGTCTGGAAGAAGGCATAGTCTATTATTGTTGTTTCTGTCTGTACTCCTTTCAGTAGCCAGGAAAATCATGACAGAATTCACAAACATTATGCAGAAACAGGGTAATGTGATGTCCTTCTTGAGAAACCATTGCATTTTTAGTTGCGTGAAGATTAGCATCTTTCAAAAAGAGTCTGCTGCTCTTAAAAGGCTGGCACACATGAGCTATGAAAGGTTGCTTGTTTAGTTTCCTTAGGACAGACTAGAAATCTGCATAATAATTCCATAAAGAGTCTGCTGCTTGAGTTAGGAACACACGAAACAAAATTGCGTAAAACATCAGAACAAGTTCTGAGGCATCTGTTTTTCCTCTGCACATCTGGCTTGTGCAGAGCATACCTGTAAGATGCTCATGCCCGGGCTGTGCTGTGATTAGATTTTCACTAGGACAGGAAATAAAAGGAATGTTCTATGGTAAAATTATTTGTGTCTAGAAGGAAGATTGTTCAGGCAGAAGTGGGGTAACAATGCAGGCAAGGAAACTGAGATCTTGTTTTTCACCTACTAAAAGGTTTAGGCTTAGGAGTAAAATTGTTGATTGGATATTTTAGTATGTGGTTACCTCATGCCAAATAAACCAGATAGTTTCTCTTCTCTCTAAATTGCCATTGTGTGACTCAGAAGTGTTTCTTTTCTCTAAATGGTGTGTCTTAATAAAAGAATTTATTCAAAGTGCTTTAACATATCCTCTTGGTTAAAAAACAATCAAAGGAATAAAACAACTTCGAGGTCATCGCCATTCACTTTTACTTGCTGTTCTGGGAGAACAGAAATGGGCTTTTCTTTCTCCTTTTTTCTTTTTTTCCTTTTTTTTTTTTTTTTTTTTTTAAACTGGGCAAGAGTGCCAGTTGCAGAGGCATTGGAAGCCCTTAACTGTAGTGTTCTTAACTGCAGAGATGCTACTACAGCTTCTGAGTGTTTCCAGCATGGTGCTGTCTTCCACTTTCTTTCATTCTTGGAGCATTGAATTCTTTACGCTCTTACTTTTTTTTTTTACTTAGTAAGTGCACAGTTAAATTGTTAAGTGCAGTAAAAGCAGAATGAAACCTCAATCAAAAGGTCAAGGATCCAAACCTGAAGAGTTTTCCAGATAACTCCGTATCTGCTATTCAGAGACACAGCCAGTCGTTGCTGCTTGGAAGTGTATGTGTGTGTTAGTAGGAGGAGAAAAAGGAAGGTTAAGGTATGTGTGAAGTAAACACAAGCTGCTATAAAGCAGTTCAAGTAGTGTTGATTCATCAACCATATGAGTGGGAGAGAAAACAAAGAGTCTGTGGCAGGTACAGTGGTGCATGGAGAATAAACAGTCATGCAACTTCAGAGCAGTAATCTAAACACCCTGCAAACAGGAAGACTTCTGCACTTCTTCGTGTGGTTTCAATTTCTCATGATCTCTGTTTTCATGATGTTTTGTTTCTTTTCTGTAGCCAGATATGCCTGCAGAACAGCTCAGTTAGTGTGCAAAATCAGTGACTTGAGCTGACATGCTTCAGTCATCACATACTCCTTTAATAATAATTTTTAAAAAGGACTTCCATGAAGGTGAATGGATGATGCAGCAATCTGCTTTTTAGGTTGTATCTGTATAGATTAGGTAAAACTATAATTTGGTGTCTTTGGAACCAGCACCCACATCCTTGTGTAACTCTAGAGCTGGTTATTAGAAAGTAAAAACAAAAAACAACTCACATGAGCTGTGGTAAATACAAAATAGGAAGGGGCTTCAAAATAACTTTATTGACGTTGCAAACTGAATGCAGCCTACAGTGTTAAATGTGTTTCCTATTATCTGCTAATGTCTGTTTTAATAAAACAGTGGGAATTAAATGGTTGCTTCTTAATCAAAACCATGATTTTCTAAACATAAGCTATGTGATTGTGTTACAAATTGCCACATATAGATCTCCTAGGTCAAACTTTTTTCCTTTCTCATAGAAATAAATAAACAGTAAATTAATTATACTCTCTGGAAGATCAAAGTAATTACAACCAAAGCCAGGCAAAAATAAAAAGTTCTCTGGAAAAAAAGACCAAAAAAAAAAAAAAGGCAAAAAAAAAAGCATCAAGTTGCTGAGTGTATAGTTAATGTTTAAATAAATATAAGAAAGTGAACAATCAATAATTTGATATCATTAGCAACAGATGTAAAAGCTGTACACAAATGTAATTGTATCAAATCTTGAGTAAACATTCCCAGTGTGCATTCCATTGAACTCACCAAAAAGACAACTAAACTATTTATGCTTGTAATTTTAAAAAAGTTTTCAGTTAGTTCAGCTCAGCATGGCAATTTTGTCTTGTGTCAGGATGATGCTAGAACAAAATTCTGCTGGAATATTTTTCTCCCACCCTACCCCAGCCCCTTAAGGTTTTAAGACATTCACAGTTTACTCAGCACAGGAGGGTTAGAGCACAGACACACTTGGGAATTTGCTGCTGAGAGGATGGGAAGCTTTTTGTCTCCTCCTGGCTCTGAGTCTACCACTGGGGATATGTGTGAGGACATGCTGGAGTTTATAACAGGATGTCCACTCTTTCCAGTCTCCTTGAGGTACACAAATACATTTGAAGGAGAGTTTACGTTAACGCAGTTCTAATGGAACATGGACAGTAGTTGGGAATCAAAAAGCTTCTGCGGGTTTTTTCTTTCCCTCATGGATGTCTGAAATCACTTGAGGTGCTAATTAAGCTATCTAGTTTGCATTGAAACTTTGTTCAGGATATGCACCATGTATTAATTTAACATTAGTATGTGAAGCCTTTTTTAAACTCTTTTTATTTAATTCTTCTTTTTGTAGGATACAAGGCCTTTTAGTACAGAGTTGTGCGTACACGACAGGATTTAAGTATGTTTAAACTGAGAAATGCACCATTTTAATAACTGCTTAAAAGGCTTGCATTGATTCTGAATTTGATTAACAGATAGATACAGAAATAAAAATAACAATATGTAAGTAGCTATATACATATATATATGTATGTATGTATGAAGAGAAGATTTTTCAGAACTTAGCCGTGCAATTGAGATATTTGCCAAGGGATCAAACTCGTACCAGTTACCCTACTTGTTGCCCAGTGTTTTGGTTCTGTAGCATTTAGAATATTTTTTAGCTCTATTCCTCAATAGATATTTCACTTTTAAGTGTCATGCTTTCTATTTTTATCACAAGGACTATCACTGTATCAGAATTTTTTCACAACTGAAAATCTTAACTGGTGTGAATGTTTTGTTTTTGCCTGATGACACAACTTAGCTTGGTGGGAGGAAGTTAGGAAGGCAGCGGGAAGAAATAAATACATTGTGAACTTAAAAATAAAAAGACATATTTTTTTTGTCTGCATTTGAAGAACATTTCATCTTTGCTTCTGACATCAGTGTCTGTCAAAATATAGCTTTCTGTGGATGTGAGTTTTGAGACTGTGGATGTCTCAAAATTTTTGTGGAATGATGAGGCTTTTCAGTTTGAAGGAAGAGGGCTCAATTATTTCTATCCAACAGACCAAGAACTTAAGAAAAAACTTTCATAGCTTTCTTAAATTGAAAATCTGCTTTGGCTGCTCTTTGATTTTTCCGATACTGATTTGTTGTTTGTGTGCTGTTTTATTTTTGAAAGTATGTTTGCTTACTTCCCATAATGGATAGACAGAGCAATCTGTTCCTCTTTTAATGCGTTCCTAGAGGCCATTGTGGGTTGAGAGAGGTTAGAAACAGGATTCAGAAGGGCTCCCAGCTTTCTTATTTCCAGGCTGAAGGAACCAAGGATTGCGGCACAGTGATAATGCCAGCGCGAGTCTGGGGAAAACTGTCATTATGTGCTTTGAGGAATAGTTTTTAATTGTTCCTCTGAAGCTGATGTTTTGGAAGCTTCATGAAAAGGCACACCAGATCTTTCCCAAACAGTGGTTTTGACTTTTAAAAAGATCCTATTTATTGATACATGTGCATTTATTTCTCTCTCTCTTTGTACATAGAGGGGTTTATATGTGTGATTGAGATATAGATAGATAGATA